AAGAGATTCAGGCAGAATCGCAGATGGTGCTTGACAGGCTGACAAAGAAAGATTTCCAGGGATGCTTCCAGGCTTGGCAGCGGCGCTGGGATCGTTGTGTTCACTCCCAGGGGAACTACTTCGAGGGTGATGGATGAATTTAATGCCTGAGATAAGTGTACGGTTTTTTTTTTTTTTTTTAATAGGCGCAGTCTTGAAACTTTCCGATCGCACCTCGTAGGCACTTGAGTAAATCCCGAGACGCCGTGTAGGCTACACTAAAGAGACCTCAGATATAACTGATCAGGAACTCACAGACTTCCAGGGAATTAATGTCCTAACCGTGCTGGTGATAAAATGAGTTCTGTATGTGTAATGCCATGTGTAGGGTTCGTTTAATGTTTCGGCTTATTTTGAAAATTTACCAACATTTAGGTGGTTATGAAGAAGGTATTTTTCTCTATCAACTATATAGAAAAACACGTTCCACGCGTAATGATTTACAACACAATGTTTTCTTTTAGAAACTGGAAACAGGAAACAGTTTCGTAATTTTCCCATTGGCCGTATGCATATTTCCAGGGACTTCGCCCTCGCATTTTTTCCTGCTTATTGTACTTTCCTTTTCTTGGAAAAGAATGACTACCCTCGGGCTAGACTTCCTGCGTATTTTCCGATTGATTTTTACTTTCCGAATGCAAAGCGCGTAGCATCAGCCTGGTTGGTACTCACGTGTGCAACAGGGATCCCGGGATGTCCACGGAACCGTCGGCCCCCTTCAAGCGCATTTCTCCTTCCTGCAAGAAAACACACGGCGTTAACACACCTCAACTGACTCCATGTGTCAGGACATGTATTTCTTCAACGGCGACCTGTAATTTTGCATCACGTGTATTAACGTTTGTTTTATCGACGAGCGTCCGATGGGTACGTTAAATACATGGCAGAACGTAGGTCTAATTGAAAAAACTTAAAGCTTTATCGAACAGAAACTTCAAGCAAACGAAGTTACATTAAACTCTTGAAACACACTACGGCACACGATATGACACCGCAGTGGGGTAAGATGTAATTCTGTTTGCAAAGAACACCACCATACTGTCAGAATGTCCTACGCATGAGGCCGACCGTGGCGGTCCTTGTTGAAATGGAAACAACTACTGCATACTGATATAATTTTAAACATATAACAGGGGCGTATTTATTTAACCCAAGACCTAATACATTCTAGGGGTACATGCGATATACAATGTATCATAGAGTAGGTGTGCAATTACAATTTAATTTTCTTCAAAGCTACCCTAAAGTGACCCAGAAGACGCAAGTGCGTCAGTGGCACTGATAAGTGGTGGTACCACGCCGATCAATGCACACACGATCTATTAATTTATAAAATAAAATTTAGATTCCGTTGTCGGCAGGTAATAACTTAGCTATTCACTGTTGAAACCTTGTCCCACAATAAAAATTATTATAAAATTTTAAAAATCCAGTCTCAATAAAAATACTTTCTTCGTTGGTCCAATATTGAATCCTGATAAAGTGCAGGATTTCTGGGGCACATTGTGGTAGTTTCGGTCGCAAAGAACTTGAAGTTGAATTTCGAGAATCGTCGATTTCTTCCCCTATGATTTATAGATTTAGATTTAGAAAGACACTGAGACAAAATCAAAAACCATGCTCCCATAACCTGAACCTCAATCAGGGACGCACTAAAGAGAATAAATACACTGAACCGCACAGCGTAGAGTTCAAGCGGGCAAGGTCGCTCAGGCTATGACGCACATATGCGTCAAGCGGCAGCGAATGCGCAAGACAAGAAAATTACCCCATTCTATAGAATCAGATGGGGCGAAAAGCCTCTTGTTTTCGTGTATATCCCTTACGTGAACGGTAATTCTGAAAAGTTCGAGCGTATAGGGAACCGCTACAACATTAAGACAATCTTCAAAAGATGACGCACTTTTAGGAATTTACTTATGAGAACAAGACCGGAAACAGACGGCCCATTGTGTCTCCAGCATTTCCTGCAAATGTGGGAGAAGTTACGTGGATGAAACACGCAGACCGACGGCGTGCGTGTCTATAAGCATCAACGCAAACTGAGAGGAGGTCTGCTAAAAAATCAAAACTGGGCCATAGAGTAAGTTGGGACGAAGCTAAGATTTTGGAAGTTGAAAATAATAGCTGATACATATAACACAAGGAAGCGGCCCACATGGCGTGTCTAACAAATCCCATCAGCCAGCCTAATTTGGAAAAGAGGTACATCGTTTATCGAAGTGAAAACAATTTCCTCAGCGGCGGGCGACTAAAAATCAGATTTCGTGGTCATCAAAATTGAGGATTTTGTATAAAAACGTATAAATCACAATCGTCGGAAACAGAACACTAAAATAATCAGCAGAAAGCTTGCTACCATAGTCCAGACATCGTATTATGAGAATTTCTGAATACACTCAATATACAGTGTAATAATTTATGTCGGAAAGGAGTCCAGTTCTCTGCTCATTAAAATTTCATTAGCGTGGAGCAGAGTAGCCTCTTCCAGAAACATTGATCCAAGTTTAGGTTAAGTTTTATCCGTTGCATTCTATGTAAGCTACCACTGCGTTTCTATGTACTTCAGCAAAGGTGTTGTTTATTCGTTAACTTTACGTCAAATTGGACATCATAGGATGTTTACGAATGACCAAATTTGAAGGGAATCGAACGAAGTGATGTTATATAAAGTAATTCCGGGAGAGATGCCGCACTTTTTGCAACATTTGTTCTAACTCAATCCGAAAATGGTCAAAACGGCTGAAAATTCAGAGATATTATATTTAAGATCTCTATTATACTAATCCGTAAACAAAATTTCTAAAGCAAATTAATTCTCAGAGATACAGGGCGATAAAAAAGTTGTCTTTGCGGCATCTCTGCCGGACATGCCGGGAGAGATGCCGCTCTTTGCAAACATCCTTGAATTCAAAGAGAAACATATGTAAATGAAAACTGATGAACTTCATTCAAACTAATGAACATTAACTTGGAGAAAATATGTGAATACCAATAAAAATTGAAAAGTTAATGAATATCAAATGAATGTTCAATTATCAAGTAAATTAAAAGAGAAATGTTCCAGAGGTTGCTTGGAGTCTATGTGTAAACT